AGGGTGTGGGTGGTGTCTAATCAAAGTCTTCTCTACATCCACACCCAAAATAAAGAGAATAACTTCGGTACATTCTCTCACTTGAATTTACAGGGTGTCCAGAAAGTAACAAAACAAAGAAAAGTTTGAAAACATATCTCCGGCATATTTTGATCAAACGGGCTGATACTTTTACCATTGATAAAGGAGTATGCATAGCTCATATTCATAAGGGAAATGTTGTCAAAAATTGCTTTGAAGTAGTACAACTAACTTCAACAAAAATGTAAGGGTGTGGGTGTGGGTGTGGGGTGTGTGAGTGTGTAGATGGATATAAGCCTCATACTCGACAGCCACACCCCACACCCACACCCACCCACACCCATACTCACACACGCCCACAACCACACACCCACAACCACACCCACACCCAGCCACACCCACACCCATACCCATACCCACACCCTATGCTTATAAATAAGTCGAAGGACTATCCGTTTCTCTATATGGGTGTCTGACTGGATCAATTCTTTTTGGTTTCATGGAGGCCGAAACACGATTCTCATTCGATATTTCTCTTTAGATTTTCAATTTTTAAATAGAGAAAGAATAAAAAATATAAAGGATCACGAGAATTTTTTTTATTAACGAGATAATGAGCGCAACGCAAAATAGAGGTATGAAAAAGGGCTACAAATGAGTTCAGCCAAAGACGAACAAGCAAGAACAAGAAGAGGAAGATAGATCTACATACAATGACATTACGAACGGTGAGTAAGGGTAGTGTATAATATTTGTGTCACAAGTGGAAAAAAATAATAATAATAATATACGCAAACACCATTAGTGAAATAAGAATTATGATAAACAGTTGTTCAGAGTTTCTTTTTCTACAAATGATATTTATTGTTGCAAATATGAAATAAATAAAAATTAATTTTGACATAATGCATACACTGTTCGAGAAACGCGAGATACAATTACACATACACAAAAAAAAAACAAATGAAAAATCCTATAGCACCCATTACGTAAATGTCTAGAAGAGGGGCAAAAGAAACTCTACTCAATATTTGTTTTGTACAAGTTAATAAACGAATAAATTTTTTTCTCGTAGAAGGTTTTTATTTTCTTGATTTTAATAACCGGACCACAAAAAAAAAGAAAATTTACAGTCAAAAGACCAAAAAATATTGATAATATGTTGTGTAATGGTCGACAATAAACATGCGTGTGTGTGGATGTGTATATCATAGTTTGAGAGTTATAATATAATAAGATAATTATATATAGATGAATTGAACGAACATACAAAAGACATTTTATACACAAAAAGAAGAAAAACATGCTATATCAAAGAAAAAGAGAAAAAGCGAGTATTGTAAAATTTTTGTTTTATACCAGATTCAATAAACAGATCTAATTTAGTTGAAGAACTGGTGGACGTTCGAATGGTCGTTATGGAATGGATGGTGTTGGACGACTAAAACAAAGACAAAACAAAAAAATTCATTTATTCTCATACAAATTAACTAATAATAAAACTAATGTCAGGTATTGAGTTTCGGAGTGTCGAGAATAGACGACAGATATATCAAGCAACAACGACAATTATTCATTATCTCATAGGACAACTTACATCGGCGAAATAGGTGATGGCAAGCCCTCAGGCTGTGGACTTGGTCTACCTTGTTGATTCATAGTCGGTCTGCAAATATAAGAATAGCATTGCAAAACGAGTGCATTGTTAGTAGAAGCAGAAAATTAAAAAAAACACATGCTGTTAGTAAATCTCAATCATGTTGATTTAGTAAAAAAAAAACAGAAACAAGATTAAATTCATGCGGCCAATCTTAATCGTTGAATTGTGTGTATGCTTTTTTTTTTATTAATTTCAAACTTACGCTGGTACTGGAGGGTTTGAAGTACTATTCTGATACAGAGATGATGATGTAGATGTAGCAAGCGGATCTAATCCGTGAAACATATCAGATGATGATTGTGATGATGATGATGATGATGCCGCTGTACCCTGAGCTTGCCTATATAACAGTATAGACATTTCACACACAATATCAAACAATAAAAATTATAGGAGAGCAAAAACAAAATAAACAAAAGTAAACCATGTTAGAATTACAAGCGTATAAGTAAATTTATAATTATTCTTTGATCAATAGTATAATCTAGGCAATTGACACTCACGCTACTTTTTTTGCCAATTTTTCATTTAATTCCGAGAATATATTATTAGTATTATTCGATAATGTATTTGTTTGAGGTTTATGACTTGAAGCAGACCTGATAGGGAGGTTAGATAAAAAAAATGTTCAGCTCATGGATATATTTATGAAGAAAAAAAAGAGCGAAATTAGTAATGACTTACTGTGGCATAATTGGTGCTGGTAAATTTGATGGATTTCCACCAAATGCACCGGGCACAAGACTTGGACGACGTGGTGGCGGTGGTGGTTCACGTGATGGAAATGCACTCATAGATAGATTTGTAGGTGCCTGCTGTTTCTGCTGAGGATTTGGACTTGGCGGACGATTGCTAGACAATAAATAAAAAAGAAGTTCAATTTAAAAAATAAAAAAATATTTTTTTTTTTTTTTTTGTTTTTTACATACAATCCATATGGAGGTTGAAAAATAGAAGCATCAGGTGAATTATTCATATAACCCGATGATAATGATCCAAAGTTACTAGTAGTACTGGAGAAACTTGAAAAACCAGCAGCTAATACCGATACAGGCATGACTGAACCAGCTACTTTTCGTGCATTGATTTGAAAATTTTCAATTATATTTAAAGCCTAAAAATATTAGATAAGAGCTATTACATATAAAATATTTCTTTGCTATTGTCACTGAGATCTGCCTGCGGATTCTATATAACGCTCAAATGGTGAATGTCAGTTCGAATAACTTTCTCGTTAGTCAAATATCAATAAGAACCGAAATCCTTGTAAGATTTTTATTAGAACACTCTCCCGTAGTCATCGAAAAACACCAGCCGACTCCATCTGTGAATTTAACAAGTTTCAAACTCATACATAATGTATCGATGTCCAAGTTCATATCTCTGAAGTCAATGAAACTTGATTTTTTGTCTTTATTTGAAAATATATATATAAAATTCATTTTTATTAAACATACATTCTTGATCGCTTCAAATTCTGCGAGTTTTGATTCTCGTCGTTGTCGTTCTTCTTCAGATTCTTGTAATAATGATTTCTAAATATAATAAAATCAATACTAAAATTCATTGACCAAAAACAAAAAGTTAATCTTACTGGATCAGGAAAAGCATAAAGATGTGCTAATAATTCTTTAGCTACAAATTTTTGTAACTAGAAAAAGAAAAATCCAATAAATTTTTCAAGAGATAAAAAAAAAAGAAATTCACTAACATTTCGAATAATATGATACATAATTGTTTTTGGAATGTAATCACGTGTCATTCGAGCAACTATTTGCATATATGATGTTACTAATTTATTGATTGTTTCAACTTGTCGTTCCATATGTGGATCAACAGGACCAACTTCAGCTGCTATCTATGAAATTTGAACAAAAAAAAATCATTTAGAAAAAATCCCTTTTTGTTTTTCTTTGAATTACTTGTGGATCTTCTGGTGGTTGTTCACGTTCTGGATAAACACCAGCACGTAAAAATGATGCTTTCCATGTATCAAGTTCTTCACTATTATCAACTGATAATTCAAGAGTTTTATGTTCTTTATAAACATTTCTAAATACAAAAAAAATTTTATTATTTACGAAGAACAAAAACAAAAAAAAAGAACTACTTACTTTCCTTCAGTATTAAATATTGCAAATTGTGGTCGTTTAGCCATAAAACCACCTTCAACATCACGGATTTTAAGACTTTCTAATGGTAACATATATTTTTTTTCTTTTTCCTATTAAATAAAAATAAAAATTTCAAAACAAAAAATTTAATTTAATTTCATACATCTAAATCTGTAAACCAAGAAAGATTATCGGTTGATAAAACAAAGAAATAATCTTTTGCTTGAAATAATTTAACACCAGTATGAACACGAAGAAATCCTTTACGAATAACCTAAAATTAAAAAATTTATATAAACAAAAAAAATGTTCTATTAAAAAAAAAACGAATATTAACAATAATAGCGATGGTAAAAATAAAAACAAGACAACAATTTTACAAGAGACTCTCTATACTAAAAAGAATTATCCAGACGAATAGCATATCTGACCCTATAAGAATAAAAGTATATATCGATCGACAGGTTAATAGAGCAGGTGAATTAGTCAAAGTAAAAAGAAAAAGAAAAAAAAAGAATTTTACCTGATTGGTAACAGTTCGTTTGGCTTCACCGGCAGCAACTGATTTTTCTTCACTAAAAAAATAAAATTCAAAATTAATAATAAAACTCGGAATGATTCACAATTATTCAAATAATCATCTATTCGAATACTAGAAGATATTGTGAGGTAGCGCGATTGGTCTCGGACTCGAGAAATTTCAATCAATCGGGTTCAACTCTGGATTCGAGTATTTGACTCTGTTACGTTCTATTGTGAGTAGAGTTTGGCGGTTACAAAAATTACCTGAAAGTGCAGCTCTGATTTTAATCTCAAGAATCGACATAGATTTAAAAATTTTTTTATCTATCTAATAATTTAACGGTTCCAGTTTTTAGAAATTGCTGAATCCTAAATATGAGTTCTTTATGAATAATCATATGTAATCTTGGATTTGGCATTTGATTACATCGATATAAGATTAGTTGAAAGCTTCATGTTAAATAATGACAGGTTAAATAAATGTATCTTATCGTTCATATGATTTCGATTAATCTAAATGTATTCTTTTTTTTTTGTTATTAAAAGTCATATGTATATAAGCATGTTGCTTTTAGACATAAGATTTTAATCTGGTTAATGTTTCAATAACAAAAAAGAAATATTTCGTTAAATCTTTAAGAATAGAGCTTGAAAACAATATTAACCAAGACGAATCTGTTTCTATACTAATTAGAAATAATAATATTGTAAGTTTTCTAATAAATATTTGATACGGACAATATTCAATTAATTGACTTCATATGTTATTCGCATCATTAACCATTTCTATCATTTGACTAGTTTATCTATTCAATCATATCAATAGATTATAAGAAGATATTAAACATTTGGAAAAACCCGATTAATGAGTGAAAGTCATCAAGTGATAAATTGCTTTTAAACCAGGATTACTTGTCAACCGATAGAGTCTGATAAGTAAATAAATATCCTATGTAATGCTTTTCTATTCTAAAATTTTTTTTCTACAAGTTAGTCTAATCCCGGCTTTTAGGCGGGTAAAATTTTAGATCGATTTTATTTTAAAATTGAGGTCAACAGAAAACAATTCGATATCTCATAAACAAATTACGCTAGGATATTTATCTACTCACCAGATCCTATCGATTGAATACAGTCATAGGTTAAAAGCGACTTATCCTTTGGTGACCTTCTTTCATGTGTACTGTTCTCAGCAAAATTCACAAATATATCCGAAGCCTATGCTAAGCTGCTATCAACATAATCCTTTCGAATGAAATTATTAATTAAAACTACAGTTCGTTTTTCTTTTAATGAAAAAAAACAAAAATATTGCCCTGCAAATCCAATAAAATCTTCATTATTCGTATTAATATAAGATAATTGAGTTTGAATATAAGCTGAACAAGCTTGTTTAGTTGCAATTTCACGCTCTCGTAAATATTGTGTTAATAAATCTTCTGTTACTTGTCTTAATAATGGATAACGTTTCATCTTTAACACACAAAAACAAAAAAAAAAGAAAAATTAAAGAAAATATTTAAATGAATAATATTTTACTTTATTTGCTGTTTCATGAATAACAGAAAGTAATTCTGATACAACCATATCAATACATTTCATAACTGGATCTTCAAATTTAGCTATTTGCATTTGTACAATATATTCAAATGCTTCATCAGGAGTAAATAGACCCGGTCTAAATAATTTAAAATAAAAAAAAACAAAAATCGTTTTAAAAAAAAAATCTTCATACTTAAATCCACGTATATTTTTAATTGCAACTATTATTTGATTACGCATATCTTTATCTTGTAATTCAGTCTATTGAAAAAGAAAAATATATACATTATTTTTATTTTTATTTCTTTTAAGAAATTAGAAACAAATTTTTTTTGTTGTTGTTGTTTTTGTACATACTTTGACTAATTCAAATGGAAAACGTTCACGAAATATGTTAGCAATACGTGCACCACCAGTTAATGTTTTTAAATCATCTGTTGTTAAATGTGTACCCTGTAATGCTGTATCAAATGTTTCATGTAATTCATGTATTAATCTAAAAAATAATAAAACAAAAAATTGTTAGAACAATTTCTCGAAGATTAAAATGTGAAACACGATATAGCTACTCTTGCTAATCACAGGAGTCTGTGGTTATCCTCTATCGAAGTTGGTAATAATCTTTGGCTCTATGAGAGATTCAAATTCTTACTCCTATACTTCAATATGCATTTTAGATCGTATTTTACAAAACAAAAAAAATTATATATATATATAATTTTTTTGTGTTATTTCATATTACCCGATAAGTGACTTGGTATCCGAACTTGATGAAATATCAAACATATCTCTAACTTCTTTTGATAAATCACGATGTCGAGTTTGTAATTCTCGTTGTAAATTAGGTAAACATTTAAGTATATGTTCAGTTAATTGAATACTGAGTGTACGTTGTAAATATGGTACACCTAATCGATCAGCAATATCACTATAAAAAAAAACAAACATAACAAAATTATCAAAACAAAAAAAAAGTAATGTATTTACCGATATGCTGGATCATTTTGAAAAAATTGACGTTCATGTTCTAATGCACCCGGAATGTCTAATTCTTTTGATATTCGACCATATTCATCAAGACGTTGACCACGAAGAACAACACCAATAAAACCTATATTAATCGTAAAGAGTATTATAATTAATTAGTTCTTTTTTTTTGATTTACCTCGTTCGAGAACAACAACTTTATTTAAAAGTACATCACGAGCATTATGTCCTTTACCCATCATATCAAGTTTAGTTAATACACCAATTGTACGTTTACCCATTGGATCTCGACTACGTGCCATAACTAAAGCATCTGATGTTACAAGATCTATATTAGCTGGTGTAACAGCTAGAATAAGACAATTTTCATTGCTTATATATTCGAGAATAATATCATCGATTTTTTTCACAATATCTGCAGGTTGTCCTAGAGATGGTACTTTGACCATGCCTGGTAAATCGACTAGAGTAAGATTAACAACTAAGAAAAAAAATCAAATATTTAAAGTAATAATTAATGTCAATTTTTAATTATAATGTATTTCTTTTTCAACAGAAAGTAAATAATACAAAGTTGAATAAATTTATCTATGCTACTAGAAATCTCAAATTAAGAAACTGTTTAGTCTTCAATAATCGATTATTTTGATTTTAAAAATTGTGATATCAACCCATGGATAGTTATTAATTTGAACGACTCAAAAAAAAACAAAATTTAATGAATAGATACATGTCTGTAATTTTTCCTATGAAATAAAATTTCATAGAATATATGATTTTTACATTATAATATCTTCAATCGATCATTCATCTTTTAATAAGTTAGATAAAACCTAATTTCGTTTTAAAATATCTATAAGTATGAAAGTACATGTTTCATATTTTTTATTTGATAAATTTTTGAGAATATTTAGTTTACATTCTTTATGTTTCAAACTTTATGCATTAGAAACTCTCGATAAAATTTCTCATGAGTATACACGTGAATAATTTTATCAACTAATATTACTTGATATAAACATAGACTTTAAAAAAAAAGAAACTAATCATTAGTTTTTATATTTATTATTACCATGTGGTGAATAAATTGTTAAATTAATTGGTAAACTTGATACTCCCATATCGTCTCGTACAATAGCTTTTGTATCATTTTCAATTTCTGCTCGAACATCAGCATAATTAATAAATCTTTGTTGTGGTTTATGTCCAAATATTGCATATTCTAATTAAAACAAATAATATTATTGTTTTTCGATTTATTATTATTATTATTTTTTTCTCTACAACTTACCTTGACCTTGTGATGTTATTAATTGCAGTACAAGTGGTCGTTTTGTAACCATGTTTCCACCACGAGGTAGAAAATCACTATAAAATGATATTATTAAACAAAAAAATTAAAAATTTTTATATATGTAATTTACATACCGTCCGACAATATTTTCAAGTACAGAACTTTTACCAGCTGATTGAGCGCCAACAACTGCTATTTGTGGTAGTGTTAATGTTAATTTTGCATTAACTGATGTAAATATATGTTGTAATTGATTGATCATTGGAATTAATAATTCCATATCTTAAAGAATAAAATTTATTATTTGTTTTTTTTTAATTTTGTATTTAAAATAATATTTTTTCAATATTTACTTGGATTTCCTGCATGAGTTGCCATGGCTAGTTCTAAAAAATTAAAAAAAAAGAAACAATATTATCTCGACATATATCAATGATAAATGACGTTTGTCTATTTTATTTCTTTTCATATTGTATCATAAAAATATTATGATATATCTACTAGAATGAGTCAACTCATTTTTCTTTCTCATATCAAAAATACGAACGAATGAATAATCACTATTTTAATGATGATACAAGATTGAGTCAACTATTATTTAGTTGTTTGTTTATTTGTTTTTCTTCGGATACGATTTTCAATAGAACAAGAGAACAATCTAGATCAAGAGGGAAAAATCTGATTGCAATCAAAGCAATCATTGTTAATCATTGGCAGTTATTAGTAATCAATAGCAATCATTCATAATAAAGAGATTTTTATTCAAAACAGTAACATTAATTGTCACTTAGTTACGTATTACTTATCAATACAGAAAGAATCATATCTCTATAACACAATATCGTCATATACAGTGGTGGACAAAAGTTTCGCACATAGGTGAAAACTATCTAAATCAGAGTAGTGTGCTTTGAAGTTTGCATTACAGCAAGGACTCGGTAAGTCTTGATCGTAGGCAAAAGCTCGAGTTCTATCCTCTTACTGAGGCTGAGATATGGGGCCAATACCAAGGATTTTTCTCTTAATATTTTTGACGAAATTGCGTAATATTTGAAGAAAATGTTAGTGCTTTTCAATTCGCTGAAGTAAAGACAATATTTTCAGTGCAATAGATAGCTTCGATGGTGGTCTACTTATGCCAAAAAGGTCACTTCGATTTGCCATACCATGGTGATTTTCCAGAACTGTGGGTCCAGTGGTATAGAAGGATATGAATCTCCACTTCCGTACAGACAATAATTCTGAAAATTTTACCGTAGATTTGCCAATACTTATATAGTCTACGGTGGAATTTTCAGACTGAATGGTTGAGTTTAAGTCGAGATTTAAATCAAATACTACTAGAGTTGCAATATGCCGATTTCGTGGGCAAAGAGGATATAGGTCATAACTTAACGAAAACATGTCAGTTTGTAATGAATATTTTATTGAAAATAGTTTAAGAGTCGGGCTTTCCAATGATGGGTCAAGTGGCATTGTATCTCTTTCCTAGCCCAAGATAATACAATAAGAAAAAATTCTTGGTGTTCACCTCATATCTCAGTCTCAGTACGAGGATAGGACTTGAGCTTTTGTCCGCAATCAGGACTTAACAAGTCCTTGCTGTGATGCAAGCTTCAAAGCAAACTACCCTGGTTTAGATAGTTTTCGCCTAGGCGCGGGACTTTTGTCCACTACTGTATATATTCAGGTTTTATATTGAGATGTACGTGGAAAGTCACAGTATTTTGTGCTGTTCAGAGATAAAAATCTTATATTGGTCAAAGATAGATCGAACTGGTAATTTCTCTATATAAAAAAATGTGGATAGTCATTGGCAATCATCGATAATCAAAATAAATCAAAGCAGTCACAACTTCAACTTTTTCCCCCTTGATCTAGATGGCGCTTATTTCAATAGTAAAGAACAATTTAAAAAAAAACTAAATATTTAACAAACTAAAACAAAATTCAATAATGATATATGAATAAATTGACAAATGATAATAACTATGATTAAATACTATAAAAAAAAACACGAACGAACGAATGAATCTTTAAGTACGTACGATTAGGTTACATGAAACTGTAAAATGCGAGCACTTGACTGATATGTAAATTGAAAAGTATGAATCGTTTCTTTTCCTTAAAGGGGAACCCCTCTTCGAAAGTCGATTTTTCTTCAAAAACTCGATTTTTGAAAAAACACATATTCTTGCAGTCTTGAGTATCCTCTCTCAGAATATGCATAAATTATCTAAGAGTGGAACATATTTTGCCCAATTTTGGTCCGTTTACTGGAAGCTATAGTGGAAAATCAATTGGTTTGTTGATGTGCTTCCCTTAGTTACCGGTAATTAATATCGTTCTATCGTCTTTATTAGCACTATAAAACCATCGCCGTGTCGAATAATCATGTCCTGACCGTTGCAGTCTAATAAGAAAGCTTCAAAACAAGGTTATTTGTCGAAAAGATGGCGCTACAGTAAACTTGGATTCAGAAATCAGCTTAATTTTTTCTCAAAAATACCATCAACGTCAATAACTTTTTACGTACTTTTCAATGATATATAATATGCTCTAGTTTTTTACACAGGAGCATCACCAACTACTCCGCAATGTTGTTATTCGTTTTTCTCGGCTTCACTTTTTTATTGTTTACTGACTACTGCGGAACATTTTCCCAGTCTACCGTTTGAGATACGCTGCTGATATTTTCTTTTATTCGAAAGATGAGACCTTTTTCTAGAAATTGTTCGAACGGATTTCTAAAATATATTTCCGTTATTTAGATATTTCAAAATCTTTGAAAGAGCTCAAAGTAGTTTTTGCGATTTTCGTTTTAAAATGATCACTACAATTGAATGAAGATGAATTTCTAAAAACTGTTCCTACAAGTTTTAGATAAAAAGATTTTTCTTCGTTTTGAAACAAAGTTCAACATTTTCCATGTTACCGCGCATCTGGAAAATGTTATCATCTAGAGCAACTACACAACATGTAATACCTTCTTCAACAATGAATAACGAAATTGTCGCAATTGCTAATGAAGATACTAATCTTTCATATATCTATTTGAAAGAAGAATGTACACCATCTAATTGACAATTAAATTCAAGCGGGTGACCTATGATTGAAATTAAAAGACAAAAAACTGAAAAATAGAATTATGTTCTTTTTTTTCTATTGTTGTATATTTAATGTGAAAGGAAAATATGTTCAATATGATATCTGATTATTTTTCATCGACAAGATGTTCATAAATAAGATTAAAGAATAACAAAAGACTAAAAATTTAAATGTCTTAATTTTTAATTGTATAGCAAAATTTCAGAAGAATTGAATACAAAATTTTTCTTTATGCCCGTAATTAATATTGTAAGTAAGAGAAGATTCATTCGTAGAACAAAATAAAAATCATTCTTTAATATTTTGACAAATTCTATACTTTATATTCGTTGTTCTTCGAATTTCAATATTCAAGAAGTTTTTTTTCTTACCACATAAACTATAAGCGAAAGTCATTAGAACTTGACTAAGAAATTTGAAAACGACTATTATTTATTTTGAATATTTATATTTAATATTAAAACAAGAATATTTACAAGTAAAACATTGAAAACTTTTATAGAAACATCTGATTTTTATGTAATATAAAATTTACTTAAACTTCGTCACATAATACCGGCAATAATTGATATTGTTGAAAAACTATCGTCATTTTCTTAGTCTTCATCGATATGAGGGTGTGGGTGTGAGTGTGGGTGTGGGGTGTGGGTACGGTTGTGTGTGTGTAGAGTGTGGCTGTGGCTGCGGATGTGGGGGTATGGTTGTGGGTGTGGATGCGGGATGTGGGTATGGTCGTGGGTATGTGGGTGTGGG